TTTAATAATGAACTCTAAAACAGACTATTTATTTACATGTTCATTTCTATCATTGCACAGTTTGATGGATGGAGAAGTGGGACTTAAAAAAGTCAGAAAACAAGCTGGTTCTCGATCGGCTGCGCGGAGTCAGTGGGGAATAAATATTTCCAGAATAAACCACAACCTAATTACATAAACGCTTCCCACTTGTCTGCTCGGGGAGTGTGGGAGTTAAAAGAGGCCGAACCGTCCAAGCGCGGTGCAAAAAAAAAAAAGAAAAAGCTCACCACGGAATCCAGGTTTCTCCTCAGCTGTGTGGGGTGTTACACACGGGTGCGTGATGTAACAGGAAGTAGTGGGTTGACTTCCAACGTCAACCTGACAGCCGTCTCCTCTGCGCCCACTGAGCGCAGGAACCGCACCGGGATCGCTTCTCCGGAGCCACAAAAACCTCCAAGCCAAGCCAAAGCAAGCGAGGCTCTTTGAGGGGGGATTTAATTTCCTCACCAGTTCGTTCGGGTTCAAAAACCACCTCTGCAGGAGAAATTACAACCACTCCGGGTAAGGATTCGCTGCGTTCTGGAGCGGGACTCCGCGCCCCCGTGCGCCCGGCTCTTTCCCGGTGTTGTCCGGGGGTGACAGGGAATCCGTGGCTTCCCCCCCAGCCCCCCCCCCCCCCCCCCATTTAGGTCAGCCCAGTCCGATCCAGTTTGCAGCGCCTGGGAAAGGCAGATGGAAGTCGGAGATCGGTCCCCGATCCAGGACGAGCGGCTTTTTTCCAGGATCCGCTTATCTTTATTCTGTTTAGAGGTGGTTCTTTAAAAAAACAGAACACAACCGTGCTAGGATGTATTCCCCTGCTTTGGCGGTGGGGTTAGACAACATTTGACGTCTGTATCTTTTAAATCTCCTGATATACTGACACACTTTTGTCGATTTTTGGTGCCATTACGCGCTCGAACCCTCCGTTATTGTAAAACCTTTGCAGGCTCCTGAGGGTTAATTCCGTGTACGCGGGTCGTAGTAAAGCTGGGTTAGGGTTAAAATGGGGGGCTTCTCTTCGACTTTACGGTCGCAGATGTGGACGTGCACGCAACGCGCGGGCGCTGCTGACTCAGCTCCGGGACGTTTGGTCCGCGCAACCGAACCGAGCCTGACAAATCCCCCCCCCCCACCCCCTCAGTTGCACATGGCGTGGAAGTGCTGCGTGATTTGACGTGAAATGCTCAATCAGCTAGAATCCTTTCCACTCTGAGACCTTCTTCAGAGAGATGCACGCCGGTTGCCAAATCAGCTGCAGGGTTACATAAGCGGATTTCTGCACATGCTGGAAGTTTGTGGGCTGGACGGTGAAGAAAAAGAGGGTTGTGGATGATGATGGGGATGATGATGATGATGATTTTGGTGGTTATTGTGTGAAGGAGGAGGGCGATGATAGCCGCTGTTGGCCCCAGGATTCTTGGCTCAGGAATGGTTGCTTTGGAGCGCTTATATGAGGGAGGTGACCCGGGGAGATAACTCTCAGACTCAGGCCAACTGGCTTTTTCACAGCGATTTTTGTGTTCACATGGCTGAACTCTTTATGTCATTGCTTCAGGTTTGATGCAGTCCTGCTGCACTTACTCGTGCCTTGCTTTTGTTGACACGAAATGGAGGGATCTTGATCTTGGATAGTTTCTAATAACTAGGATCCATTCACTCCCATTAGATTAAGTCATATGTTGAATAGCAGAACAGCAACTGATTGCATCACAAGTTTTAGTGTTTAAAATGTTTGTTTTTTGAAAATGACAGCGGTTTAGAGTCTTTTCTCTTTGTCATAAAAAATCTCAAGATTAAGTGTTCCTCATTGGATCCAATACTTATATATACTTACTTGCATATACTTACCAATTAGCTGTTTATCCTCCTGTATTGGGCAGATTATAGGCTAATTTACGATGGACTAAAATCAAGGGTGACATTTTGGAGAAAAATAAACCCCAAAGAGTTAAAAAAAAAAGTTATATAGTTTGAAGAATCCTTCATGTTATCTAATTCCATTTTTTCTTTTCACAGACATAAAGGTTTTGGCTGTAAAAGTTCAACTGTTTTATTACTCTAGTTCTTCTGATAAAGATATAGCAAACTTGACTCTTTACATTTCATTTGTAAAACTCAGGGATTCAGACTTATTTACTTGATAAGTAAAACAAAGTAGTCAAAAGACATTACAATCAAAACAGCTTGACTGTGGTTTAATCGTAGCTTCAGTGTTAGCATGGAGCTAAAACAGGGACATTTCATTGGCTGCAAGTATGAATCCTCTCTCAAAACACCAGGAAACAACCACTAAGTTTCACCGGGATTTCACAAAAACACCAATCTGTGGGAAGAGCCATATGTGTCAGATTGGCTTTTATCAGTTTGCACAGCAGTGAACGGCTCACCCTCAGACTGGTTGTGTCACGTTTTAGAGTTCACAACAGCCTGTTAGATAGCTGTACTTCATCCTGTTGCTGTCACAGATCCGATATCCTTTTAGTTTAGCTTTCAATCGTTTCATCCAACCAGTTCCTCAGCAGTCATGTTCTGCCTTTAGACCAGTGGCACATAAGCATTGATCAATACATGCTAAGAGGCAATGAATCTATGTATATTTTTAAGCTTATCAATGCTGACAATTAGTAGATTTATCAGGCTTATTGAGGTTCTTATGTAGTAACTTTGCCGTCAAGTAGCAAATGATTGATTGTTATGGAGTATGTGTATAAAGATGGGAACCACTAGTGAGGGAAAAAGCTTCCCAGGTCCTGGTATGAAGACTAATGATGCTTCTCGTGAAACCTAACCCCTCATAAATCACCAGTGCACAGTGACCTCCCTCAGCCTGTCCGTTATTGATTTTCCTGTTATGTTTCTTGCCCTGTTGAAGTTGTAGAGTCTGCAGAGCTCAGAAATGTTTAAAGCACCACTAACTGCGTTGGCAGTTCTTCAGATCCATTCAAGTATCCTCTATTGTGTTTCCGCACTGGTTGAGCTAGCGACCTTTGTATATAATTTCAATACCCAACTGTCAGGTTACCCCAGACAGAAGTTATCAAATGAAATAAAAGCGCAACAATCTACATGTTCAGCTTCCCCCTTAGGCACTGTATTTAGTTTCAGGGATGTGAAACCTTTAGAAGTCATTTTTCCACTCATACATTATGAAGGGTATGTTTTTTTTCCCCCCTCTTTGACCTAGTTTAAATTTAGCTCAAGGTGGTGAGTGGCCGTGTAGTGGGCCGTGTCAGTGGAGTTTGCGGTGACGTGGTTTTAAAAAAACCTTCCGTGTTGTGTTTAGCTAAACAAACCGCCAGTGACGCTTACCTCCTTATTTTATTGTCCGTGACGAGTTTCTGG